TCAGCCAAAGAGAACGTACCTCCTCAGTCTGCTGTACCTCAGGCTGTGGCTACTCCTCAGGTCAAGCGTGACTCCATTAGGACCATTGATTTTACTGCCCCCACTCACTTGGGTGGCTCATCACTGGTACATGGGTTACTGGTCGGTACTAATCAAGGCGCTGTGTTGGGTTTTACGGTTGATATGCCATCCAGTAAACAGAGGGGTCAGAGATCACCTGTCGTCATGCCTGTTGGTAAGAATAAAGAATTTTACATGTAGTGAGGCTCTTTGTGGGTCAATTATTTTATTTATGATATATTATTTCAACGAATAAAAGTTGCCTATTTTGGATCATAAATTTTTAGAATTTTAGCCACTGAGTGTCAGGTGTTTTTTGCCAAAAGTAGCTACAACAATTTCCTGAATTTTTATTGGATTCTCTGATAGACCATGGGCCTTAGGATATTTTGTCAAAAAATGACTAGAAGAGAATTCTTCATTTTTATCCTTTTTTTATACGTATACATGTACTTATGTTGTGTAGAAAGTTTGAGCTGATTCTAATCAAGTTTGAATTTTTTACGAATTTTTAAAGTTGCTCTAAAATTGAGCAAAAGTCCCTGTACTATTAGTAACGCGGTAGCGTTACTAAGTAGGATTCACCCCCAAACAAAATGGCTGCCACGACTTTTGCAGCCTTGCTATACCGGGAAAACGAGCTCCTATGCTTACCAGACTTCTTAGAGGACCTTATCTTGACCAGAGGACTCCAATGGTACCCATAGCGTGGCTCTAGACCTTTTCTGGGAGAAAAATCAAAAATCTGCAAACCGGCCGTTTTGTTCAGCCACCTTTTTTCATCTTCATCATCATCATCATCAGGAAAGTCCTGTCAATCCAGTTGTCGGTCGATATATCGATCTTGCCTGGTGATAGAAGGCTAATTCTTACACCATTCTACTCCAACAGGGTATGCGCAGGTCCTTGTCCCCTAGAATCATTCTCCAAGAAAGGAAAAAGTGATACTGTGACTGTTGGATCGCACCAGCTTACCTCATGCCGCCATTTTGTTAATTAAATAAAGAAAGCATGTGCTCCAAAATTTGGGCGTGGTCGCGCATGCTCAGATCTCAGAACTGGGAACAGCAACGTAGCTAGGCTAGCTATGCTTGGAATCAAATTGCAATACTTAGTGGAGGTTTCCAGCTAAGAGAAGGTATTAATCTTGCATATATCAAGTGTGTAATGAATTATTTTATTTCAAAAACACAAAGCAATTAATTAATGTTTATAATACTAGTGATAATATGAACTTGACAACAGGAAGAACCTGCAGGAATAGCTACAGGATTGCTGGAAAGATAGAGCTTCTTGAACAAGGATTCACATCAAGACTATAGTATTTATTTCACTTTTCATCAGTATAGTAGATATTCTTTCACCATATCTATTCAATTCAATCAGTGCTGTCCCTCATAAATGCTGTAAAATCATAACAATGACAACAATAATAAAGAAACTTATTGTTTGTGTAAAATCAAAAAGCATCACAATTGTAACTGAAAAAATATAAATATTATAAAAAAATAAACACAAACAAGAACATAAAAAATTAAAAAAAACAAGATTGAGTAGGATTCCGAACGACCAACGAAAATACGAAATGAAAATC